ATTCAAGTTTGGGTAACAGTAAATATCTCTTCAGAGATTGCTTGCCCCAGGCCAGATGAAATGTAGTTATGCTGCTAGAAGACTCAAAATGAATCATGGAATCTTAAGACAAACTTTAACTGTCGTATGGTTTCTAGGGAAGGTGAAGGCATGCCAGCCACCTTTGGATTAATTTAGGCTTTGATGATTTTAAAGGGGGAACATTGAAAATATGATTAAATTATGTACAGTGATATCCTGGCTAATTGTGTGAATGCTTTCTTAGCTTGGGCTTTGTAAATGCAAGATACATATGATTCTTTGTTTCTGTGTTTATGAACCAGAGTAAAACTCACACCCAGATGTAACTGTAATGTAGATTACCATGAACCTGGTGAGCACAGTGGTGTTCTCTTCCTTTTAGGATTCCTGGGGATAGTCCAGTGTCTTTGGAGGAAGTTCAAGAACTGGTCTGTACAAGTCTGACATATCTTTACACATTAGATTTAATCTTGAAAAGTTGTAGGTAGGATAAATATTTTAAATATTGAGTCATATTTTTCCATCCTAGAGAAATTCATTCTCACATTAAAAAATGCATTGGTCCTTTTCTAATGAAAATTAAACTTTAAAATACTAGCCTTTTTCAATGAGTACTCTGTACTTGTCAATATACAGAATACAATACTTTTCTATACAAGAAGTTAGTCAAGTGGATCCATGATATTGGACACACAATTAAAAATAAATAGTTATTTCCCTATTATTAAAGTTTCTCCCTCAATATGTGGGACTTGGTTTAAGCACATCATTCATGGCATCGTGTCTTGCCTTTAGTGATATTGCTTGGGGAGTAGAGCCATAAAACATTATCCTTTTATTGAGATTTATTGGACTTCAGTCTTCTGTGGTCAAAGTAGGACTTCATATGGATCAATACAAACTTTCAAAAAATGAATGTGCTCAAAAGCACTGCTGGCCTTGAAATAGAGCAACGTCTGTGTGTTGTGTTTAAACTATTCTACCCTGCCTCTCTGTTTAAACAGTTGAGACACCAATTCAGTTTGCTTTTTGAATCCTGTAAAAGCCAACTAGGCTGCCCTTCTACAGGACCTGGAAAGTATGAGCAATGATACATTGATTCACTAGCCAAGGACATGTAGTGGTGTTAATTCTTATGCTGGGTTAGTCAGATTCTAAAAGCAAGGGTGTAAGAAAAAATTCCATAGACCTAAAGTTATCCTAATTAATCCTTTAAATCGCCCATAAGGCATAATATGTGTAGTTTTGTGTATAAAACGCTGAACAATAATTCTTATGCACAACATAGTCTGAGAACCACTGAGCTAGAATAAAGGAAGAAACAAAGGAGAAACTGTCTGGGCACTCAACCTGTTCTTTCTTTATGGTAACTACCCAGTTCATGGAGAAATGGAGAGTTCTATAGAGTGTCTGCTTGCCTGCAGGATTTACTTCATTATGCTTTAAGATTAAGCCCCTATAATCTTCAGACACATTAATAGATTGATTTGGTTTTGTAAGGATTGAATTAGACAGTATATGTGAAAGCACCTTGCTCAGGAGGTGGTGATGGGAAGCAGTTAAATCTAAATGTTGCTTGTCATATCCACACATACATTGTTCTCTGGAACATTGTAGAGAAGAATTTGGCCACCTGTTTCTTGTCCTCTAGTTGGGATATTCCACTGTCCAGCAAGGTCTTGTATGTTTTTGCAGATTGGCTGTATCTGTAAATCAGTTGGAGGTTGGAATGGGTAGGGTTTTCACTTCTAAGGTCAGCCCTACATTTGTTGCATATGTAACTCAGGTGATAGTTTATATTTCTTTGGGTTCTGTAATGGCTCTTCTGTCTTCTAGAGTTCACAGTTTTGTATGTGAATTACCTGACGGAACTGTGTAACCCACCTACCTAGACTCTCCATGGTGAAGTCATGAATATGTGTTTCAGAATTTTTTTACTATGTATATTTTGGGGGTACCTGTGAATATGTATTTTAGGGGAGCTGCCTATGTGATTCCTATGTAACTTGCATGTTGCTTTTGGAACATAGCCATCAGGAAAACCCTGGGGGTAGAGTATTTTGCCACAAGAGACTATTAATATTTTTGATCCTGTTTTAGCTTAAATTATTGGGAAATACCTCCTGTATTATTCATCTAGATTTAAAAATACATAACTTCAGTTATTAAATACATTAACCATTTATTAGAGAAATTCATAACATTGGTCATTTAGTAGATAAAATTAATATTCTTAATTTGACGTATTTTTAAAATTGAATACAAATTAAGTAGCTTATTTTGGGGGGTGCTGTGGATTTTGATTTGTACTCCTAGGTAGCACTGACATGATCACCTGAGGTTTTGTTTGTTTTTAATAACCTGGGTTTAATAACTTTTTAAAATTTTAATTATGGATATGTAATAATTGTACATACATAAAGGGCACCTGTGACATTTTGATACAATCATCCAATGTGTAATGATTAAATTAGTAACCTCGGTTTTAGCTGGCTGCAGTGGTCTGAGCAGTTGTTGTAGTCCTAGCTACTTGGGAAGCTGAGGTAGGATGATTGCTTGAGCCCAGGAGTTCTAGTCCAGCCTGGGCAACATAGTGGACCCCATCTCTAAAAACACTACCACTACTACTACTACTAATAATAATCTGGGTTTTGAATTGTATTCTTTTCTCATTTTGAAGGGTGGATTTTTCATAAAGTTCAGATTTTTACTGGAAATTTAGTTTGAAAAGGAAATATGCCTTTTATCTCTGATTTATTAAGATGGGGAGCTCCTTTAAAGTGAAGTTTGCTATACCCCACTAACTGTTGCTGTCTCCACTTTTCTTTCCCTTTCTCATGCCCAAAGCATTTTCCTTACTTCCATATGCTTTGTCCTACCCATTCTACCTTTTCTTGGATTGTATCTTATCAGTTATGCTCCTGTTCTTTATCCTTAATCTCTTTCTCCCCCCTTACATCTTTTCCTCTATTTAGATACAAAATATGTCATCCCTACTAAAATAACCAACCTTCTGTCCACCTTGCCACTCTTCAGTCTATCATTTGATCTTTTTGGTTCCCTATACTGACCAGTGTTCTTGAAAGATTAACTGTAATTTCTGCATCTATGTCTTGACCTTTTGCAGTTTGGCTTCTACTCTCACCACTTTATCAGAACTCCACTTTCAAGGAGTCACCAGTAACTTCTCACTTTTCAAATCTAGCAGTCTTTTCTAAGCTCTCATCCTCTTTGACCTTTTTGCAGTAAGTGAGGATGTTGATCACACTCTCCTTCTTGACATGTCTCTTCCGTTCCGTTGGCTTATGTGACTCTTCAGACTTCATTTTTTAACCTCTGTGACTGCTTCTTTCTTCTTTCTTTGCTGAATCATCCTCTGCTTTTGATATGTTAATGTATTTATTAATATGTTGTTTTGCTTTTGCTGTCCCTCTTCCTTTTGAGCATTCTTCCTTACCGCATACCAGGTCCAGAAGCTAGGACAGGCTGGGTGTGGTGGCCCACACCTGTAATCCCAGCACTTTGGGAGGCCGAGGTGGGTGGATCACCTGAGGCCTGGAGTTCGAGACCAGCCTCAACTCCATCTCTACCAAAAATACAAAAATTAGCCAGGCATGGTGGTGCACGCCTGTAGTCCCAGCTACTCCAGAGGTTGAGACCAGAGAATCTCTTGAACCCAGGTGGTGGTGGTTGCAGTGAGCCAAGATTGCGCCACTGTACACCAGCCGGGGCAACAGAGTGAGACTCCATCTCAAAAACAACAACAACAACAACAAAAAACAAAAACAAACAAAACGAAACAAACACACAGAAGCTAGGACAAATCCCCTGGGCAATTCTTGGGCTGAACTGAATCCACAAGGAACTTACCTAAAGTAGCCCAATGGAGAATAGGATGGAGAGCCAATATTGTAATCAGAAAAAAATGGTGCCCAAATCTATCATGTCTAAAATGTAAGGGTGAAAAATCAGAGAGTAGACAGCAGATTGGCAGTTTGGATGATGAAAAATAGGATCAATGAATGGGTCAAGAACAGGAACATATATTTGCTCCAGATCACTTTCTATGTAAGAGCCTGATGTATGTGTTACCAGGGAATCACACTAGGGCTTTAGCTTCAATAATCATTTCTTTGGAGAAGAACTTTAAATCTGTATGTGAAGCTCCATTACATTATCTTCTTCTCAAATCGTTTCACCTAGATATCCAACTAGTACCCTAAGTTTAACATATCCTGAATCAAATTAATCTTCTTTCTCTTGAAACTGACTTTTCTGAGGTTCCTAATGTATTGCTATTCTATGTCATTCTAGATAAAAACTTCAAAGGCATCTTTGATTTTCCTTTTATCCTTACACCTAGCAGTTTGAAAAAGTATTGTCAGTATTATCTCCATGTTGTCTTGTAATTGGCACCACTTTTTATTTCCTTGTACTTTACCCTGACTGCTATCTGACACTCTTGTGGTAGCCCCTATTTAGTATTCCTTAACCCCTATCCTAGTCATTGCTGCCAGTGTGAGGAAAATTCAACTGTGAATTTAAAAGTTACTTTAAACTTAACACAACATTCCTAACCAGAGATAATTGCTGCCCCATCAGTGTTCTTATAGCACTTATGCTTTCTACCATTTGTGTGTATAATTACTATGATTTATTTTATATATATCTGTGTGTGTGTGTATGTATATATACACATATATATGTATATGTGTATGTACATGAATTGCCAATCTCCATAGATTGTAAGCTTCTTCAGGGGCAGGAACTATGCCTTGGTTGTCTTGTATCCCCACATATTCATTGTGTCAACATACAACAAATATTTGCTAACTAGAATTAAACAGTTAGCTGGGCTGGAAGGAATCTGATCCCAGTTAATTGTAGATGATCTGTGATAGTCATTTTAACATGACATTAATTTCATTTTTTTGTACATTTTTTTATTCTGAAAAGCTTTTTTATTAAGCTGTGCTGATGGCATAAATGGAACAGTTAACTGGAAGACCAGACAGGCCAACAATTTTATTATCAGCAGAAAAATGGCTGCTGGGATGAAAGATGGTGAGTTTAGGTTGTAAATCTAAATCCCTTTGGGGGATCCAATTAAATGTCTGCTTCCAATAGTCTCTTCGCTTTTTTAGTCATGTGTGGCTTTTTGTTGTTGTTGTTGTTAGTCTGGAAAAATAAAATTTTGTTTTCCTAATCTGCTAAAACTTCTGATCCTGTGTGTTCTTAATCCATTATTTTTCAAGTCCTTTTCCTTGGCTATAGCTTTGCCCTTTTTAAAGAAAAACTAAAAATCATTCCTTTGTTTTTAACTTACCTTTTATCCAGTCACTAGCTTGCCACTTATAAAAATTGTCCTACTGTAGTTACTATAACAAGTTATTTATAATATTGAAAAACGTGTATTTAACATCTATCATTTAAAACAGTATGTATGTAACCTTGGAGAAATAATCATAAAATATTTTGGCTAATTTTGGATGATTCTTGTTGCAAAACCAAATTGATATGTTTTGCTATTACTTAGTTGGCACTTGTTTTCTATTGGAAAGATGACTTGACCTGTAAATGACTGATTGATCCTTATAAGTTTTTCTTCTGTATCTATAAATGTGACCATCAGCAATATTCCAGGACTTTTGAAATAATGTATTTCATTAGGGAGAAAAGGTATTACTTAACAGTCAAAATATTAGTTGTTTTCAAAATATCAATTACCATTATGAACTTGCACTTAATATTTATTTATATTTTTTGGCTTTATGATCCTTCACACAAAGTATTAACTACATGTGTTCATGAACAGTAGCAGAATAGCAGTTTATCTAATTTTGGAGCAACCAAAATGTCTATAAAAATAAGAGTAATGTTAAAATGTTTTCAAAAGAACAGTAATTTTATGTGATAAGATGATAATGCCAGATGAAACCTGCTGGGTACTTGTAGGATTGATTCCTGGCTTACCTCATTTTGTTCATACATCTCTGAAGTTGGGTGTCACTAACTTTTTTATAGCTGGAACCAAATTATTCTTCAGCTGGAGTCTTTTTGCCCCAGATCTCTTTCACAATGGGACAAAGTTTCCCAGCATATTTTTTCTCAAGCGACTTTGAAACAAACCCACAATACCTGTGTATTTTTAAGGAATTTTCATTGCTAAGATTTGTAAGAAAACATACGTAGAGTTTCATACAAATAACTTCTCGTGAAAAGATCACAAAAATTTGTTTTAAAAAGCACTAGACGCACTTGTTCCTGGACACAGGCCCATGATCTCATAGTTCTTTTCCCCACATTCTCTTAAGATGTTGCCATCAGATTCTCCCATGTTCCTTCAAGGGAATCACCCCTGATTACACCCTTATCTGGCTGGTTTCTTGAGCAAGCTGAGAGCCATCGGCTTCTTTGACACAGTCACTCTTCCTTTTTTCTAATAATTTTCTGGATATGGGTCCCCGGTGTCCTTCACTGTTGCAGTCTGCACTGAGCTTCTGCTCTGTCATCTCCAAAGGACTTGGGACATGCCCTGGTTCCTTGTGCCTCACCTAGAATCTCCGAAGATTCTTCCTCTGGACTTCACATCATTTTTCACTAGATTGCAGTCATCCCTTTTCTTCAGTCTTTTCTCTTTAGCTTTGATCCCTGGAACCTCGATCCTCTCTGAGCATGCCTCTCTCTCACTGTTTGATTTGCCCAAAAAAAAAACAAACAACAACAAAAAAAACTCAACAGCTGCTACACTCAGCAGAGTCATCTATTATGGTGCTGTTCTCAGGGAAATGCATTTCAAGACCTTGACATATAGTGTCATCTAGAATCTCTAAGAGACGCCAGTCTCTTCCTGTTTCAAACTTCAGACTGTCATTGAACCTCACACTGATTTTCTCCTTGGAACCCTAGAGATAACTAGAGTTTTCAGAATAGAAATGATCACTCCATGTTGAATCTACTGAAGTAACGAGTTTAGGTTATAACATTCTCTTATTGCTTTAGTTTAGCTTGATCTCATCCTTTAGATTATTTTCCTTTCTTCTCATCCTATTTATATCCTATCTTTGTAGTTCTGAATTATCAAGATACCTTATACAGAGAGTAAGTTTTGTCAACTGTATGAGGAGAATTTTTTCATCACTTTTAAAATTATAATAACAAATACTAGTAGCTTGTATGGCAAGGCCATTTTAAATGCTGTCTCAGATATATAATGTTCTTTGAGATGTTCTTGACCATGAATCTCAGTCATCTCTTTTTGAAAATTCAAGAGAGCACAAAAGATGATAGGTTTGTTTATATATAAAATAACTTTAACAAATGTATGTTTTGTGTAGTGCTTTTTTTTTTTTTTTTGAGACAGAGTTTAGCTCTTGTTGCCCAGGATGGGGTGCAATGGTGTGATCTCAGCTCACTGCAACCTCCTCCTCCCGGGTTCAAGAGATTCTCCTGCCTCCTGAGTGGCCGGGATTATAGGCACCCACCACCATGCCCCGCTAATTGTTTTTTGTATTTTTAGTAGTGACAGGGTTTCACCATGTTGGCCAGGCTGGTCTTGAACTCCTGACCTCAGGTGATCCGCCCGCCTCAGCCTCCCAATGTGTTGGGATTACAGGCGTGAGCCACTGGGCCCAGCAAAGAATATTCCAATTCTTAGCTAAAGTGGTAGGATGGTACTTCTTCTGTAAATAGGATTCCAAGGAATTTGAACGCCTTGGAACAACACTTTTGACATCATTCTACCTCAGCACCCAGTAAGTGGTTACAAAAGTAATGAAGAATACTGCAGATATGGACTATGGAATCTCTTCTTTTTTTCCCTGGAATGGGAGTAGGGGACCTACTTGAGCAAGCTGAGGGCCATCAGCTTCTTCAACACACCCTTCCTTTTTTCTGTTTTCTCGTTATGGGTTCCATAGGCTTGAAGCAGTCACTTAGTCCCTGTAGGTTCAATTTTGTTATCTATAAAATAGATAATAGAGAGACTGAACTCTCCAGGAGAGCAAATGCATGCAAACTCTGATTGTTAGTAACTGTCAGGAATCCTGGGTTGAGTAGGAGGCAGAGGCCATATGCAGGTAGGAAATAATGTTACGATCTGTCTCTTAATAAAGAAATATATTTGGCATGCCCAGACACGATAACATATAAAGCTCTTTTCAATGTAGCATACTATGACACTAAGCTTATTGATCACCAATTAACAATGGTATGGAACCTCTTTCCAACTGACATTTAAAAAACACACACACATGAAATCACATAATAATCAAGATGTTTAGTTCCAGTTTGGAAAGATTAAAAGTCAGTGGTTTTAGTTGGGAAAAAAATATCATGAAGAAACTCTTCTGCTTTTTTGTAGAAGAAGATTCAAGTAATAGATTCCTCTCCTACTTCATGTAAAGAAAAGTGGCCATATCTCTTAGAGAAATGAAGTTTACAAAGACACTGTAATGCCTTCCCAGTGATGGATTCCACAGCCAAGGCATGGACTATCTGTGACTGAAAAAAAACAATAACTGGCCAATGCCAGATGAATGGCCTGCAGTACTTTGATGTTGAGTGAATTCAAAGGTGAAGGGCAGACTGCTGAGAAAAGCTTTTGATTCAAAGCCAACATTCATAAAGTTGTATTGATAAAACACAAGGTAAATCTTAGTGAGAAAAACAAAAACAAAAACAGGTTGTGTAACTGGCTGGATATTGATATCTCTTAAAATATTTCTCTGCAGCAATTATCTGGTTTAATAATTAAATTTCAATTTGACTGTAGTAACATGTTAAAAAATAAATTAGAAAGGAATCCATAAATGTATCAGGCTATGCAAACCTTGAAATGAGTTCTTTTGATGCAGAGGCAGCAAGTGAGATTTGCCTCTTGTAATCAATTTCTGTGTATACAGGGACTCTGAATCTCATAAAGAGTTTTTAGATGTTAAAACTATAAAATATGAGACAAGAAGTATTATTTTTTGTCAGTACTTAACATTTTTAATTATCAGGGATGACCATACCTAGTTGCTTAGGCAACAATTTATTTAAAAGGTACGGCAGATCGGTGGCTATTTAGTACTCTCTTTATATCCTCAACATACCTTAAAACCTTCTTAATTATTCTTATCCAAAATTTTTTTTTAGATAATACTTACTGTTAAGGCAATATTTAAACTAAGTTCAAATTGCTTAAACAGCTAATTTCCCAGCTGTGAAATATATACTATCATATTTAAGTAATTTGAACTCAGTTAAAACACCTTTGTGATGCTTGCCCCCACCGAATAGCTTCCATCTTCAAACTCTTCATGTGAGAAACAAATTGATAAAATTGAAATGCTTTTAGAAATAGACTTTAATTGCTTATTACTAAGTTACTTATTAATTATATTGTGTTATAGTACCTTAGGCTGATTTTGCTATAACTAAGGGCAATAGATCATTTAATTCATAGATCTCTTTGTTTAAATTATGCAGTGTATTTCCCACACATCAAATATGTAAGTAATTATTTTATAAAACGCATTCAATCCATTTTTTATTTGACAGTTCATGGTTATGTAATATATGGGTTGAATTAAGACTTTCAATTGTACACCTATTTATTTGTGAATGTATTTTGTAACAGAGTTTCTGCTGCCATCACCTTAAGTAATGGCTCTCTCTCAAGTATAGTAAGATCATCTATTCAGAAGTGTACTGCGTCAACTAAGAACCAGGAAATACGCCACAAAAGAGTCTTTCAGCAGCCAAAATAGATGCTGCGAATGCAGGCTCCTGTCTTTTACATCTAGCAGAGCCCTATGTGCGTTAAACAGTACGTATTTGCTTTTACTTTAATGCGCAACCCTGCCTCATTTGGTAGTCTGGTTTCTAAACCTGTAGCTGATTAATAACAGCAAATTAGAGGGGATAGAGAAGCTGCTACAGGAAACATACTGATAGCAATGAGAAATGACAGCTGACAACTTGTCTACAAAAGATAAAACAAATCTGTAAAACACACAGCCTTAAAAAGCATTAGCAGACTGGGACCCACAGTATGATCAGTAAATGACAAGGCAACCAGACAGTCCGCACGGGTATCACCGTATAATAGAGCAGAGTGCAACAATTGATGTACAAAATGATGATCTTGTACCGTCATGAAAAAGAATCAACTGCAGAGTACTTCAGAAAAATCAGCTCCATGGAACAATTCATTTCATGGGGTTCTGGGAAACTGAGATTTTACTAGATCCTTGTAAACCTTAAAAATTAGAAAATGATATTATAAATGGACATTTTACAGTGATTAATTTATTAATAAAGCATCTGTAAGAGAGACCTAAACATACTGGCTACCTAATAAAAGTCACCTGGACATAAATATCGACAATACTTTATGACTTTCTTCTCAAAGATTTCACAAGAGAGATGACTTTAAGATTTAAAACTAGCTCAGACTTGCAGGGTCTTATACTCAGTGGTTATTTTATCTTTATAGCCATGTAATTGTTCTTGGTGATGCAGAAAAAGGGCTGGCAAGTGTTCTCTGGACATTTTTGTAGCGAAGGGGCTGTGTGTGTGCCTGTGCTTATGCATATGCCATTAAGAATAATCGTTGTGAGAATTGTGAAGTTATGTGCTGTGGATTCATTAGCAACATACCATCATAATACTTTCAAAATTTAATGTTTACTAAATACATTCAAACTTGCTTTGAAGGTAATTGTAATAAGCACACATGCACACCCTAATATTTTCATTATGGAGAGAGAAAGTTTCCACTGGACTATTAGTAAAGGAAAACAAGACATTGTTTAGCTTGCATGAGGTCCCAGTTTTTTTTGCTACTGCTATCATGGTCTGTTATTTGACTCTGGGCTCTGTGCTGTCACATAATATACAGTTGTTGAAATGGCTGCAGATTCTATACCTGTGAATGAAACATACAGATAACAGTTTTGTGAACAAGGTTTTGGTAACACGGTGATGAGAGACATAGGGGCTATGTTTAGGGAGAGCGAGATAATGATCCCAGCTACTTGCTTACATACCCTTTTGGCAGTCTCTACTCAGATATGTAATTATTACTTTTAAAATTCTGTTCCTTATGACTACCTGTCTTCAGAAGTTTTTAATCTTTGTAAATCTAGCTATCCTTGCTATTTGGAGATGGTGTTTTTGACCTCTTGTGGGTTGGACTTTTGGTTTCATTGTTTTTCCCATTACTGGTGATAGAATTGCATGGATTTAACCACCCATAGGTTTCCAGTTTCATTTATATCTAGTGGCATATGTTTGCAGAGGTAATGGATTTGCAGCCGTAGAAGATTGCAAAACCATGCGATACACAGAGAGGCCAGACCCTGTTACCTTGGCTTAATTAGCATGGCACTGTACACATGTATATTTCAGAGTTTAGATCTTAGTGTTGTGGATTCTTAGAGTGTTTAAATTTGATTTTCAAGACTTGCTCTTAAGGAAAACAACATGCTTTAAGCTTATGGTTTGTGAGTACTGCCTAGGCATATGTGAGTGCAACATGTGTTAACTGTTAGTAATAGCCTCTGTGGGTGTTGGAGCAGACCCCATCAGCTTTATTTATATGGCTCATGTTTAGAACAAGAACCTATAGCTTTGAATTCTCTGTGTCATTTGTTGTTTTTGAAAGGAAGCATAGGTGTAAATACTGCCCAAATTGCCTCTGTTGAAGAGCTATTTGTTTTGCAAGTAACAAATGCGAAAGGGAAAGGCAAAGGGCACTGCTCTAAAATGTTGTGTGGGTGCCTGTAATTTAAACTGATGCTACAGAAAGGAAGTATTATTTTTACAAACAAAACATAGTGGCTTAGTCATTTTCCATTTCTAGATGATGAATGTGTCATACATCTGTATCATGTTTTTCTCAAAGTGAATGGCATACTATACTTAAAGTGAAGCAGCCTTTACTGTGGAGTTGCCAAGGTAACTGACCAGCAAGTATGCAGTTCAGCAGATTGCTGAAAGGCAATTGAGTACACATGAATAAAGAAATGTGCTTGTCATCTTCAAACCCAGGAGGGCCATGGTAGATTGTGTCTTGGCTCTGTAGATCGCAGAAATGTTTTTTATAAAAGCAGAAACTGAGATGTTCTATGCAAGTTCTTGAAGTGAGATGATATGGAGTGGCAGGTACCCTTTCTTTAATGGTTCCACTTCACTACCTGTGGAGGGCAATGTAGAAAATGGAATCATTTCAGTATTATTTAATATGAACAACCTTTCATTTTGCTTTGTAAGCTAGCTTTTACCACCTTATAGCAGCAAATACTAAGGGAGACTATTAGTTTATAATGTCAATGAAGGATGATAATCTACAGAATGCTACCTCTGTAAGTATTATATATATTTAGTTCACTAATAGGAAACTTACTTTTTCCTCTGCCATACTTTGTATTAGAACGTACGTATCCATTCCATAGGCATTGATACAATTATTCAAATATACCAGACTCTCTTCTAGCTGCCGAGAAAATAGCAAGGTAAATAAAACTTAGTGCTGTACTTCAAGGTATTTTTAATCTCTAGAAAGAATAAATTAGATAATTAGATAAACTCCAGAGATTCCTTTAGATTATTTGAAATGTTCTCTGCTTGGGATGTAAGGTTGTGATCCTGAATTTAAATACTTTGATATATAGAGTGAAATGACTTCTTAGCAGGAGTTCAAAACTCCCTATTTTGACTCTTCTTTTCTTCCTAGTTTTGCCTCCCCCTACCTTACATTTACCCCAGGATCCAGCATTACTGGCTTAATTCCCTTCCCTGAAAGGCCCCCACAGTATCCAGTATTGTATGTTGCACATATGTTCACTGCTGAATTGCCGAAATTCCACATCTCTGAGTTTCAGAATCCTACTACTGTAGTACTTGAGGAGCCATATTGAATTCCACTTCTTCCATAAATCTTTTCCAAATCTGTCTAACTTTAATTGCTCCTCCCGTATTTCCAGGTGTTGCCAAAGCAGTTTTACCTCTGGGAAAATACCTAGTTAGGTGGATGTTGGTCTCCCAAACCAGATGGTGAACTCCTGGAAAGCAGTGGCAGGGTCTCTTTCATCTTCATATTCCCCATAGCACCTCACATTCAGGGTACATTGTGGTATCAAACTGGCAAAAAAAAAAAAAAAAAAAAAAAGTATAGAATTCTCATCTTTACTATTTTTCTGTGCTTCATTCATTCTTGTTTTGGAGAATGGGATTATTCCTGCTGGTAAGTACATTGTTCTTGAGTAGAAGTTGGGTACTGTAAATGCCACGGGGGAAGATCACTTATGAATACTAGTACAAAACAAATCAGGAAAGAATAGATCTCTCTACATACCTAGTTAAACATAACTTGTAGCTTCCTTCCCTCTGTTACAGCCTTTGAAGTTATGTTTTTAGTAGTAAAGCTGTAGATATATGAAGCTACGAGCCAAATATTTTAGCTCAGTTCCCCCTTTCTGGCAGCTATCCACTGAACTGCAGGGACAAGTTTTCACAGATAAAGAAACATTTTGTGGGAGTTTTTATTTTTGTGCTGAAAAATGTAGTTCAGTGATCTTGCTATCTAAGGCTTTTAGTAAGTTGTGAGCTTGGAGTGAGCAGCCTTGGGGTTCTTAAGGTTAATTACCATATTTACAAATCCATCAATGACTTAAAAGAAAGAACTGGCCTGATAGGGTTAATCTGTCTAAAAATTGCAGCCACTAGCCAATCAGGAAAATAGAAACCCAAAAGAGATTGCAGATGTGATGAGAGTAACGGCAATAATGTGTTGGTGGAGAAGATGCTATCAGAGCAAAAACAATAGGTGGAAACTAATCAAAATAATTGGCCATTTTAATGTACTCACTTCGTATGTCTTAAGTAACTGGTAAATCATGAAATTTACGTATTTCACTTCAATAAATTATTTGGCCTGAATTTTATTATGTAATTGTTATTGCTTATTTAGGATGCAGCATATAATAGATTATATTGTTTGAATTACTAAATATCAAGATCAGGGAAAATTGAATAAATCATGTCTATGAGGGATGTGAGGAATGAATTCCCAGAAAAAGTATCCAATGCATTTTTATAAGTATACATAAAAACCACATTATACCTATTGATAGTGTTATATAGTCTGACATGCTTTGCCTAGAAAACAATTAGTATAGTATGGATTCTTACCACTTAAAAATTACTCTGTGTACTTTGCTTTAAAAAAAAGGAAAGAAGAAAAACATCTGAAGCAATTTTGTAGCTGGTCAGTTCTTATGATGTATTTTGTTGGTAATAACCTCAAATAAAAAAGAAATTACCAAAAAGATATTTTGGATAGCTTCATTATTTAATAATGGTCTAAAACATCAAATGTGCATAATTTTGTCTATGTAGTGTTTGAAAAGCCTGTAAACACAAATCAAAAGAATTTTTTCCCGTTTTGTCCTGAAATCACTTCCATTTAAAACAAATTGTTATTAACAGTTTCCTTGCATGTTGCTTCAATTTTTCCAGAAATGTCTACGTAGTGAGACCCCTCTTTATAAAGAGTGTAAGCTGAATTATCAAGGGCATATCTCATTATTTGTCTTTCTGTTACTTATCTTTCCTCTTTGTTTTCAGTGTACACTATTTTCTCCAAGGTACACTCCGATCGGAATGTATACCCATCAGCAGGTGTCCTCTTTGTTCATGTTTTGGAAAGAGAATATTTTAAGGGGGAATTTCCACCTTACCCAAAACCTGGTATGTTCTTTGTGAGGAGAAAAAAAGTAGTTAACGCACTAAATTTTTTGTTTAATTTGCGTAATCTAGACATATATGATAAAATATCATTAACATTAATTCAAATGGTCTAAATGTGATAAATTGTTGTAGGACATTTCTCATTTTCAGATTAGAAATTTAATTACAGACAAAAATAATTTATTTTTGAATGTTAAAGAAACCATATTTCTGGATTCTCAGTCTTGAGTTTTATGTCTCTGACAAGTGATCTACCTATATTCACATGGAAATGATTATAGCTGTAAACTTACGATTTTCTATATTAAGACCTAGATTCTCACATAGTACTTTCATTTTTGGAAAACTATACATATGTTGTAGAGGAGAATGAAAAATGGCATTAGGTAAGAGCTTTCAAAAAGCTTTTACAATAGGATGTAATTTCATATAACTCCTTAATAATATTATGGAGATTAATTTTTCCTTTTAAGTGATACCAATTATGAAGTCTTATTTAATTCACTACCGGCTTAAATATGTTATTTTGAATGATCATAAATGCCATCAAATTAACGAAGGTATACAAAGAATAGCAAGAGAAAACATATCGTTATAACTCTTCCTTAAGCAGAAAATAAAAGCAAATTTTATGAAAATTATATTGTATAAGAATGTTTTTAGCATTAGAATTGATATAACTATTCTTTTTGAAGATTATATGATGAATACTGTACCTGAAAACTCTCCCACGATATAGTTAACCATGTTCCTAATAGTATTCAAGAAGAAATAGTCTTTTCATCAATTTTTTTTTTTAATGTTTTCTTATGAGGCATTCCATGTTTGCAAAACTATATGGCTCAAACTTTTGAGCAGCAGCCATAACATTTGAGAAGAAAAACATGTAGTTAAGAGTGTAGTTTGTGGAGTCAGCCAGGATTAAATGCTATTATAGTTTCATCACTTAATATGACCATGGAGAAGTAACTTAATGTGGAAAATTACATATTCCATCAATAAAATCAGGGCTAATACTAGTAGTAGGTTCATAGGTATGTGTGAAAATAGATGAAATACGGCTTGTAAAGCATTTAACAGGGCCAGGGAATGTGCTAATAAATGATGCTGTTATTATTGCTTGTGATTAATACATGCTGTCATTAGTACAGTTGTTATAGATTTGTAATGTCTTTTTCATCCTATCCTCCAGTGTTTTAAAATTACATTTTTTTAATGAGACTTTTACAATTTTGGAATATCTTTCATACTCATATGATAGTGTCCAGCGTTTCATGAATGGAATATTTTGGAAAAGAATGAGTACATCAGCATGATTAGGGAATTTTCCTGAAAGATAGTTGTCTCACTGGCAGAACTATCTCACTGTTTGGTGACCAAAAATATATTTCCAAGAAAATTGTATGAATCTACTTTCTTTGTTGCATCAGATTTTGAGACAAGTTAAACAACCAAAAGGATTTTTTTTAACGTGGAGCCCTAATTTAAATACCCAGATGGGTTTTGTATGTGTGTATTTAGTTGGCTACAAAATAAGAAAAAAATTTTAGACAGAATGTTTTGATTGAAACTACCAAAGCAACATGTGTGAAAATAACTGTCTTATGTCTTAATTCTCTGTTTCTTATCTAGGTGAGATTAGTAATGATCCCATAACATTTAATACAAATTTAATGGGTTACCCAGACCGACCTGGATGGCTTCGATATATCCAAAGGACACCATATAGTGATGGAGTCCTATATGGGTCCCCAACAGCTGAAAATGTGGGGAAGCCAACAATCATTGAGGTAATTTACCCCTAGAAAGAGCAAAACTATACATATATATGTGTGTGTGTGCGTGTGTATATATATATATAGAGTAATGTGAGTTTTAAGTGTTGAAACTGTAGTTACCTGATGTGGTTTTTAATATTTTGTGCATGGAAACACAGTAGATAACATTTGGAAATGTGCCATTCTTTTCTGTTTATAAAGTTTTGTCTCAGCTTTTATATTAAAATGACAGTCTAAATTTGTGAAAAAAGTCATGACATTTAAAAGAAATAGGTTATTATAATATGAATTCTATTTGAGAAAATAATTGTAGACTTGATAGACTTATTTGCTCTGTATTTTGAATTCTGGTTTTATGTTCATTGAAATATAGCCATTCAACAGACATCTTATATACCCCTACTATGTGCCAAGCATTGTGATAGGTGCTTAGGGATAGAATGATAAATAACAGATGAGTCTTGCCATATCTTACAATTCAGGGGTTGGAGGACTGGGATGCAAACAAATACTTAGCCCACACTGTAATAACTGCTATAGTAAGAAGGTGCTGTTTGATGCAAAGTAAAGAATTTACTTCACAAAGTAGAAGGAAAGCCGTCTTGGGCAGAAGAAACAACGTATCAAAATCTTGGAGGTATAAGGAAAGTCACATGGTCTCAGAGAATGATAAGTGTGGCTGGAAGAGGATGTACCCCAGTAGGCAAATGATGGGAATGGGAGGTGTTGATGCTGGTAGGGGCAGATCTTTGAGGGCTCTGTAAGCCATCCTGATGTGTTTAGCCTTTATTCTAGAAGTGATGGCAGTGTTACCATTCATCAGGTCCTCACCAGCACCTAGCATCTTAGCTGGGAGATATTAGAAATTAACAACAACAAAACAGTTGTTACATTGAATCTTTAGTGGGAATTAATACAATACTTTAAAAAAATGAATGGATGTATAAACTAAAAGTATACATCCTTTCAGAGGATTACTTACTATGAATCTTTCTCCAAAGTTTTAGTCAGCTGTGTACTGTGGATGTGAGCTTCCACAGTGGCCAATTCATTTGGAATTGAAGTTTGTATTAACCGTTCAGTGATTTCTATTTATAAATCGTATTCCTTAAGGCAGTGTAGCTATAAGATAGACAGGTACTTAGAAGAAGCAAGTTAGTTTGAGCTATTGTCAAATTAATTTTTTAAAATATTCAGTAAAAGTTATAAAAGAAATATATAAATGTAATTCACCACATTATCAGATTAAAGAAGGAAAAACAGCATAATTGTCATGATAGTTATGGAAAAAGTGTTTATTAAAATTTACTACCTATTCTTGATAAGAAAAAATAGCTCTTGGCAAACTAGGAATAGAAGTGAAGTTCTTTAATTTGCCAGTTTTTACCAAAAGTAATAGCGAACATCATTCTTCATAGTAAAATGTTAGAGAAATTTCATTTAAATTCAGGAACAAAACAAGAATGACTCTGTCTGATAAATCTATTACAGAATGTATTGGAGGTCCCAGCCAGTACAGTAAAGAAAGAAAAAGAAATTAAATTCATAAGGATTTAAAAAGAAGAAATGGAAACTATCAATGATATAAATGGTCTGTAGACCATTAAGAATCTTAAAGGCTAGCAGTGAACTGTGAGATCAGTATAAATTATTGTGGCATTTCTATACATGAATAGCAAGTATTGAGAAAACACACATTTTTAAAAATACCATTTTAATAGCAACAAAAATGTTGAGGTACTAGGAATATATCTAACAGAATATATGCCAGGTCTCAAGTCTAGGTAGATTAGGGATTACATGTAAAATGCAAATTTTTAAACAATTATGTTAAAATGTAGAAAAATCTCTTTTTGACCTATGGATAGGGAAGGATTTAAGTAAGACCTAAATATTTTTAAGAGAAAAAATTTATCAATTTCACTATATGAAATTTGTGAATGTCTGTTCATCAACCATTAAACCAGAGCATGATTTAAAAAGACAAGCCACAAACTGGGAGAAGGTATTTTCAATACGTGTAGCTGACTAAGAGCATCTAAAATAATAAAGAAATCCTGCAATTTAATAAGAAACAGATATTTCACTAAAGAGGAGACACAAACACCAATAAACTTAAGTAGCTTACTTGTATGGGTAATGAGGAATATTCAGATGGAGATCACAATCAAAATTTTGCCATCAGTAAAATGCACTGCAGGTGGATGTGGGAGTTGGCTTCACTACTTTGGAAAGCAGTACTGAATATCTCATATCGTTGAGTATTCCTGTACCTTATGATATGGCAGTCCTACTTCTAGCAATATGCCCCAAAGAAGCACTTGCGAATGCCCTCCTGGAGACATGTACAATCATGCTCATCAAGCAACATTTGTATAGCACAACACTGGAAAGCCACAAAACAATAGAGACCCAAAAGTCTATCAGCAAGAGAATATATTAATCTTGGTGTATTCACACAGTGAATGTTCAGAGCAACAGTGAACTTAAGCTTGCCCAGCAATATGAATAAGTGTTTTAAACACAATGTTCAATTTAAAAAAAAGTACTAGAAGACTACATATAATAGTTTGCCATTTTGGTAGAGCTCAAAAACAAGCAAACTAAACCATATGCTTTAAGCATTCATGCAATTATGATAAAATTGTATTTTAAATGAATGGATTGTTAAACACCAAATCCAGAATGACTACTTCTGGTTGGGGAGAGACAAGGGCTTAGGCTAGGAGTGAAACACATGCACTGAGATGGTTTCATAAGAGTTTATTGTGAGTGCATTCATTATATACTTTATGACTAACATACAGTGTTATGAAAATGTATAAAAATATATTAAAAAGATAAAAATGAAAGTTTACCATATCTTTCATATAACGTAGTGATTTATCTGAAAATAGCTCATTTTTACGTTCATTTATAGTAACAGGTATGATATTTTAAAATATTCTATTAAGTTAGTCAAGAATTTTTGTATCTTAAATATATAATATTTAATCATATAAGTCTACTATTTCCTTCATTCAGTAGATGTTTATTTGATTTAAATTTTAAGTATCTAAAATAGATCAGCTCTGTTTTAGAAATTGGAGAATAAAAATAAAGCATGCACACATAGACACACACATACTCTTCTGCTTTGAAGGTCTTCACATCATCATAATAAGTAAAATCTGAGGATATTACAGCAATTAAATGTCTCATTGGAAGTGATAGAAGGACTACATTCTGATACAGCTGTTAAAATTAAGCATCAACTATAAAATCAGATAATAAAATTCTTCCTCCTGATATAAAATATTCTTCACTCCCTTCAATAGTCTGCATTATTTAAAAATAAAGACATTTATTGGAATTTATGAAACTTATAATAATGAAATTTGTGATGATTAAGGGAAGGCTACCCATAAAAATGTTGCTATTAATTTGAAAAAATCTATCTTTTTCTGAGCTGAAGCTTCATGATATTGTAACAAATAGTAGAGGATTATACTTTTTATTGAAAATGTGATTAAATGTTTTGCAGGGTAAACTTTTCAAATGATGAAGTTTCTCAACAAAATCTAGTTAGCATTTTTTGTATGTTTCATTTGAGGAAAAATTCCTAGTTTGTTTAATGGCTAGTCTTAATTTTAATGTTTGGTGTGAAATTAATTGATCATGTGTCCCAACAGATAGCAGCAAGGAAATAATTAAATTTGATGGAAATTTGACAAATCATGGAGAGAGAGTTTCTTTTAACTTTATGGGGTAATATGCCTTTCAAAATATGTACCTTTTAAACATTGTTAAAGGTTTGGAATTATTTATTTCAAAATTCTTACTATTCTAACTTAGTATTTTCAATGACTGCAACTTATTTTTTTGACACTCATGTAAGGTATAAAAATCTTTGATATTTGTTTTAAAATGCACAAGATATTTATTTTTAGTTGAAATCAGTTTCATCCTACTTTTTTGTCTCAGTGTCACCTCCAGCTGCAATCATTGCCAGAAGGTTAGTGCTGGGATTCTAAGATTTTGACACAATCATTTGTTCTTTTTCTTTTTTTTTTTTGAGGTACTGCAGACGTGTCCGAATGATTTAATATCTGTTATAAAGTTAAATAGTCCTTAAGTTTTGAAACCATATCCTGTTTTTGGCCTTTGCTTTGTGTGTTGTTTGCACTGGCTGTTTCTGAATTGACTTTGATGTAAGTCTATTGGCTCTGCAAATGTTTACTAATATTTGACCGTATGAAGGGATTGATTTGTGTTTTTGAGCATGTTCCATAACCTTTATGGACTCTGATCCTTACTACTTTACTCCCATCATAAGTGAGATATGATTTCCAAAGGGTTATTTATGACATTTTTTGACTGATTGGGGTGCAGTTTAGAATTAAATGCAAAAAACACAAAGATGTGCTTGTTTTAAAGTGTACTTTTCATTATAATTCTTAAACTCCATTTAAAAGTACAAAAATTATTGTTTGTTTTTTTGAAAGAACATCACCGGTAAGTAATTCTTAATGGTTAATCCATTTACTAATGATGCATCTGCATTGCTACCAGTGCTTAATGGCCTTCTATGAAAGAGTCTTTCTGATTTTAACTTTTTGTTTCAGTACATTAAATAGACCTGACTAATTATTTATTTTCCCATAATATTGCTAAAAGCTCTGAGTTCTCATTGCCTAGAGAAGGATTATTTTGTAAGTGTATCAACAAATAATGAAAATGGAAAGAACGACAATTTTTTTCATTTTAATCCTTAATGAATTTCATTTTACAAAGAACATTTCACTTCTTTAATATGGTTTTCCTTTTATAATAGATAACTGCCTACAATAGGCGCACCTTTGAGACTGCAAGGCATAATTTGATAATTAATATAATGTCTGCAGAAGGTATGTATGAAAATATGTTGATGATCATTTCCTTATTTACAAGAAGTATTTCATTATGTTTTATAACTACATAAAATATAGTTAAGAATTTTAAAATGCCACATACCTAATATAACTGATGAAATAATAAGATGTAGAAAAGAAAACTAAGCAATATCTAATTTGTTATAAAATATTATGGTGTGTTATGATGATGAAAAGCTCAGATAGGAAGCCAAACAGATAGTCTTCTTATTTCTCTAATCCTTTTTCATCACCTTAAAATGGGACTAACAATAGCATTTCTCTTATAAGTATGGAGTAAGGAGTCTACAAGTTAAGGCTGGAGTACTGCACTCCAGCTTAGCTGACAGGGTGAGACCCTGTCTCAAAAAAAAAATTACTAACTGCTTTTATTATTTATTTAAAAATTTACTGTAGGTAGTAGTATAAGTGTATGTGATAATGTAGGGTTTCTGGAGAACAAATAAACCATAACTTAGGGCACAATTTCCTTCCTAAATAATTAATAGTGTATTAGTAATTTGTAGAGTCTTTCAGCAATTTAAAGTTTCATATGCTCAAATTGTAAGTGATTTCCTAAGAATTTTGAAGGTTAGGGATAAGGAATTATTCTCAGAATTACACTCTCAAATATTTTGACCTTTTTAAAATCAATTGACTGGGAAAATACCGCCAAATACTTTGTAGTTAATTTTTTTTTTTTTTTTTTGAGATGGAGTCTTGCTCTTGTGACCCAGGTTGGAGTGCAATGGCGCCATCTCAGCTAACTGCAACCTCCGCCTCCTGGGTTCAGGCGATTCTCCTGCCTCAGCCTCCCGAGTAGGTGCGATTACAGGCACCTGCCACCATGCTTGGCTAATTTTTTGTATTTTTAGTAGAGATGGGGTTTCACCATGTTGGCCAGGCTGGTCTCAAACTCCTGACCTCATGTGATCCACCTGCCTTGGCTTTCCAAAGTGCTGGGATTACAAGTGCGAACCACCACACCTGGCCTGTTGTTGAAATGTATAAATCATGAAATAATCCTTCCTATGTTAGATATCATTTATGAGGATGACAGGAGGGAAACAGATCCAGAATTTTTTTCCCTCTAAAAACAAGAAAACAATTGTGCATTCTTGATAGGGGAATTTTTGTTGCTATTTACTAGTGCAACTAAAAACAAATGAGCAAACACCAAACATTTTATCAGAACCTACTAATTTAGAATTAATGATAATGCAGTCAAGGCTGTTTTAAAAATTACTTTTACACTATATGAAAGAAGGAATTTCTGTAAAATTAAACATATGTATGGAGAGATTGCTTGAAGACTTAAACCCCCTTAAGTGAATGTTTTCCCCCAGGAGTTTACCAGTATCAATTGTAGACAACAAATGTGCAAGTTTAAAATTTAAAATGACCTTCATATATGAAAAGCAAGTCCAAGTGCCAGTTCTGTGGGCCTGGACAGAAGACTCCCTGTTCACTCTCCCACTCCCCAAAGGCTTTTGGTAGGTATTTATGTTTGGATCAGGGAGACTTTTGTTCTTGACTACAGTGGTGATTGGATGCTTGCATGCTGTCTAAGCTGGCCCTGTAGAATTGGAATACACTTAATGAGCAGAATAATTGAAAAGTTTCCTTCCTCCTTGGGAATTCATCATTATAGTTATAAAGTTATACTACAGTGGCCTTGGACCATCTCACCTCACCATTATTTTCTCAAAGGGACTCGAAACTCTGTCAGGTGTGAGAGTCCCTACAAACTGAAAGCTTGGTCTATAATTTGAACTTCTTCCTTCTCAAATGTAGTCTCAGTGCTGTAGATACAGATTACTCAAGGCATCTCAATAGATGATGTTGTTGACATATGGGGACCCATGGTCAAGTATATACTAATAGAAGACTGCTAGACAACTGTAGGATTGAAAATTGGCAGTAGGGCTCTTTGTCTAAATAAGGGGTTTGGAAGGTGTGCTAGTGAGAAGGAGTAGAAGACAGGTTTTAGAAGCCTCCACCATTACTCCAGGCAGTGCTTGTTCCTTTGCTTTTTATGTAGGGTTAGTGGCCCAAACCTATTTGAACCACATGCACTAAAGTCCATGCATTTGTCCTTGCTGGTCTAGAAAGAAATGTGCAGTGGGATGTACATCTTTGAGCATGGCCTACACTCATGTTATTTATCCCAGATTAGATTTAGGAAAAGAAATAACAAAAGTTGTATATCTGGGTAATCATGCTCTGTCCAACTCCCTGCCCAGCTGTCTCCTGTTCTGAGAGACCTAATGGGAAATTAGTCATGTAGACTCACACAGCATGAAGCTCAAGGAGAGTACATAAAGTGATTCTCTAAATTGCGTTTAGTGCCTCAGAGGCCTGCCACCAATCTGTTGGCCTACTGTTCTCTTGGCCTCTGTGATTTCCAAATATAGCAGGCATGGGATTTCCCCAGAGTTAGAAAGCTGCTGTGACTCATCTCTGGGAGTCCTGGCAGCAGCTCTTGGATGGGTAGATAGCAGGCAGCTGCCCAGCTCAGAGCCTCTGAGGGGTGTGGTGGCAACCACAGGCTTTGCAGCAGGTCTCAGAAAAGGAGCCATGAAGCGGGATCACAAGGAACAGGAAAAGCCAGATAATAATTCTCCAAAAAGTAGCACTGATCATAAGAAAAAAGTTTTAGATACTTTTTAAGAAAACTGAATGTAAAAACATTGAATGAAATGAATAGATTTTAGACTTGTGGCATATTCAAAAGCTGCCTTTGATATTATTTATAAATATTTTATTATTTATTGCCAAGAAACTTTTTCATAACACATTTCTGCATGACTATTTCTAGGTATGCAGATAAATGTAGCATGATTAAGCTATTTATCTGTATAAAACAGGAAATTTATTTGCATAAATGAGAAGAAATATATTTTAGATTGCAGATGGGCTATACTAAGCAAATCTAACAAAATTGTAAGCAGAACAAGTGACAATATAGGAGATAAGCAAAGAACTTTGTATGATTAGGGCTTTGAAAAACTAAGTCTTTAAAAAGTGATGACCAAACTCTAGAAAACTCTTGAAAATTCTGAAGCCATAGTTTCTTCTCTGACTTCATCTCAGGCATCAAATGTCCTTTAATAGGATGCTTCATAAGAAATAAGTTAACCAAGATTTCAGCTACTTAATGTAATTTTTATTTTTTGTTCATTAAATAAAAGTGGAATATCTTACAGATACATGAATTTTATTGACATAAATGAGAGGATATACATAGTGTAATTACTACTGGGGACTTTAAATCTGTGTAGCACCTAGAAGCATTTTCTTGTCCTTTTAAAGTACAAATTCAGATAATCAATCTTTTCATATTATTACAATTAAGCTAACATCTAATATTTTATAGGCTCCTACTATGTGTTGGGAGCTCTGCTGAGCACCTTATATATGCAGTCTCTTTTAGCATAGATAAAAATCATATGAGGTAAGTTCACATTATGAGATAAGCTTCTGGACCTCTCTAAAAATAAGCTTTCTCATAGGAAAGTATAATGAAAAATACAAACAGCTACTCACCCTCTTGTTGTGAGAATTAAATGTTCTAATTCACCTAAGTCCCCTAACTTGGCCTGCCTCATAGTAAATACATTTAAAAAATTAACCTTTATTCTTACAGAAATATTATTAAATAAACAGAAAGCTATTATTTATCATAAGAGAACAATTAGAATATAGAGAGTGATGATTTGTAATTGAAGAGTAGCATTTGAGTAACAAATTATCTTTATATATATTTACAGTTTCTTATATCGAAAGGCTGAGTTTGACATGGGGTTGTTTTAATATGTGAATCATGAAATATTTAGAGAGAAATTTTGATGACACATTGTGGAGGAAAAAACACCAAATCTCCAACAATGTGAAGTGGAATTCCATGAGAACTTTATAATTTTTCTAGAATATTTAATTATAGTGCAATTAAAAACTGTGGAATTGTTCTGGTTTTTAGAATTCCTATTGGACATATAATTGATTTTTATTTCAGAAAAACTAATATTTTAGCATGCTGCCGAAAGATCAGTAATATTATAAATTTAAAATGCAGATTTATCTTTTCTTAGTTGTTTTGCCAAATCCTGTGATTATAAATTGCCCTGATGAGTCTCTGGTGAGCCTTGGATTTTATTATATTGTAGATAAAGTTCTGTTTCTAATGTCAGTTATGTTTTTAGACACATCCTCTGTTATACAGAAAGCCTTTAAAGTCAGTATTAATATTGCTTCCTGCTGCCAGGATTATGACAGAACTCAACAAATTGCAAATTGTTCTTTTGTTTCCTTTTTAAAAGACTACTTCATTAAAGATATGCATGCCCTTTTTCACCAAAATTAGACTTCCCGTTGCCATATCAAGCAGAATTCTTCATTAAGAATATGAATGTAGAAGAAATGTTGGCCAGTGAGGTTCTTGGAGACTTTCTTGGGGCAGTGAAAAATGTGTGGCAGCCAGAGCGCCTGAATGCCATAAACATCACATCAGCCCTAGACAGGGGTGGCAGGGTGCCACTTCCCATTAATGACCTGAAGGAGGGGTAAGCAGACCTTTATCTCATTGCCTTAAATATAGATTTTTTAAATATGGTGATCTTATCAAACTTATTATAGATGGAAGATGGTCTATTGCATTTTTCTTTTTAATAAGAAATAGATATTGTAAAGATATGAACATACTAGTAATTTTCTATATTGACAAAGATATCGTGTTAATGGTTTTTTATATCTCAAGTTCCTGGTCTGTGAAATCTAATTGTAGATGAGGGCCAGCATCATAAATTACAGCACTAAGTCTTTTGTATCTTCCATAAAGAAGCTGATTATTTAGGGCCATGAATTTCAAAGGAAATTGACGCCCCAGTTATTAGCTGCAGAAGGATGCGCAGACTGCTGTAACTTTATTCTAGGAAACTATTTCTTCATCTTTAACATTCTTTCCACCATGTGTCGGTGACTGATGGCTGGGGTGGATTTGAAACCCATTCCTGTGACACAAAGGCCTAAAGCCTGACCTTGTCACTCACAAGCTGGGTGACACTGGGCAAACCCTGAACTCCTCTGTGCCTCAACTTCCTCATCTGTTCCTGTGGGGAACGGATGTTCTCCCTCAGAGTTGTTATAATGATTAAGTGAGATAATGCATTTGAAAGGTATTTGTCAATTCTCAAGCAGTGCAGATAGAAAGCATGACTTCTGACCTTGTGGAGGTCAAGAAACAATCCTGCCTGGGTAAAGTTATTATCAAGACAAACTTTGATGTTTAATTTTTAATATGTAGGTTGAGGCAGATTTGCTTCTCCTCCCTCAATCCTATAAAAGTATAGTCTGTGGAATAAATCACATTTTGCATAGCATATTCCCCTTTCAACTTCTCCTTCACCCATAATCCTGGAAACACTTTTATACAGGTGATATCTAGAATTAGCTAGAATACGTGGATTAGTAAGAATTAAATGTAAGGATAGCTTTAAAGGAGAACTGTGTACACATGGATGCGGTCTGTGGGAGTAGGTAGAAGGCAGATGGGGAAAAGCAGTGAGCTGTAAAGTCCAACCTGAAAATTTCAGAATTCAATTTTATCTTCTATTTTATAGCAATGGATTTTGAAGTCAGTCAAGCATACATAGAAGTCCTTTGAGGAAAATGGTTGCTTTATCTCTTGTCTATGTGCTGATTGGCTTTCTATATGAAAACATAATTCTAGAGCTTAAATTTTTACTTCATAGTTACAACATGGTTCTCTTTCCTATAAAGTAATTAAAGCAGAACCATAGAATGATATGAATGGGGCTATCTTCCCTGAAGGCATTCTCCAAATAAGGAGGTTTTAAAACAGTTTTCTTAAGGTAATGTGTTCCACAATTGTTAAAACAATGACCAAATAGTGTTGGAGGAAACAGCACAAAAACAAGGCATTGGTAGAGTTTTTCATTGTTGTGCTTTATTCTGGTCTCACTTTTTCTCCAGTTAGTAGTGCAGGTCCCACCTGTCGAGGTACTTTTAGAGCCTGAACTAAACTAAATTGAACCAAGCAACTCCCTAAACCAAACTGTGACCTAAAGCACTGCTTTCCAACTATGTCTAGCCTGAAAATTGCCAATAGAACATTACTAAAAATATAGATAGGTTCCTGGCCTTTGTTCCCCCTAGAGACTGATTCTTTGAGCCTAGGGCTGGGCCTGAGCGTGTGACTCTATATTAAGAACAGAATTTTTGTCCTACAAGTACTTGTTTGAGAATTCAATCACTGACTGACCCCCAACACCTGCTAGAGGGTGGCACATGCTGTCAGATATTTGAGAGAATCAGTCCCGTGGCATTTATTTGGACTCTTGTCTCAGATCCCTTCCCAACTTGAAATGCTTTCCATGAGTTTTAATTTAATGTTAAGCCTTAACCTTTACAAAATATTCATATGGAGTCTTTTAAAATAGCATTTCTATAAATTGTACACAATGCCAACTCTATTACTCCAGTGTCCCTATACAAACACTCATAAAGTAAAATCCTACTTGAGTTATAATTCAAAAAGAAAAGTTTGTCGCTGCAAATGATTTTGCATGTTTTCTTGAGTTGTTATATAACATCATGATAATAGAAACAATTTTTTAGCCCTATTGCCTTAAATTTAGAAAAAAAAAATCCAATGCTTAACTAGTACTTTCTTTCCTTTTTACTCGTGTATATTATGATTTTTAATTCACTTAATATACTTTCTGCCTTTGCATTTTCTTTTGAAAATATCAGGGGCTATAAATCCTTTAAAAATGAAATATTGAAAAGATCAAGAAATAGGGTCAGAGCTAGCAAAGGAATTATATCCTTCTTAAAAATTTTTGTTTAAAAATACATTCATACACTTCAGAAGTATTAATTAAGCACCTAATAAATGTATTCTGTGTAATACTTGGCATAAGTCTTAGTCCCAGATTTAAGAAAAAGATCTCCATGAAATTATTTCCTATTACACATGTCAGCCACAATTACTACATGCAAATTTTTTCATATTTGATATGTATAGTCAGTTAAACAGCAGATGACCAAGAGTAGCCCTCAGTAGTAGACCCTCAGAGTAAATCTACTACCCTTCTACTGCCTAAAGTGTAATTAAATGTCAGTCCCCAAGAGCCCAACCTGCAGCATCTCAGCTCCTCATCCTTCTTGATGAGCATTTTTTTTTAATCTGGCAGAACTCACTGACAGCTTTCAAACTTCTCCTAAATCAAATAGAAAATGATTATAAAGATTTACTTCAAAGTGAATAAGCTCCTGCAAAGGAAGGCTGAGCCCTCTGAAAAGATTCATTTTCACTTGCCAGACCCATAACCCCAAGGCAACTGTGCTATCTCTGGGCATGGTCTTGGTGCTACTTTTGCTCCTAATGCTGAGCTAGAGGCTAAGGCCTCATGGATGTATTTAGCCTGGGATAAAGCTGGGGGAAGAAGAGCAGGTTCATATTTCATTCCAGGCATGTCATGGCTGCCAACCACAGGCGAGTGATGTAGTGTAAATGGTGGCTATGAAGGGAATGATGGGGTGTGAGGATTAAAGAATATACTCACTTTTCCTAAGAGATTGTCAAACCTACCACTATTTCCTCTGGTTACCAAAGCATGTGGATCCAGTTTCAGTCAGCAACAGAGAATCCTAGTTTATTCTCTAGACCATCTCACAAAGTACTCCCGCTGATTGTCTGCTTTTTGCTGTATGTCAGAGGCCTCAGTGAGAAGTTATAGTTGAGGAAAAGAATGGAAATCAATGGCTGCCCAATATTGGTCTGATGGAAAGTCATGATCCTGGGCCAATTTCAGTAGGGTTCTGAAATTGTCTCTATTTATTGTAACTTACAGAATTGCCCTTTATCCTTTTTTTTTTTTTTTGTCACGCGGGCTAGAATGCAGTGGTGGGATCTTGACTCACTGGAACCTCTGCCTCCTGGGTTCAAGTGATTCTCCTATCTCAGCCTCCTGAGTAGCTGAGATTATAGGCTCCTGCCACCATGCCTGGCTAATTTTTATATTTTTAGTAGAGATGGAGTTTCATCATGTTGGCCAGGCTGGTCTGGAACTCCTGACCACGTGATCTACCCGCCTCAGACTCCCAGAGTGCTGGGATTACAGGCGTGAGCCACCGTGCCTGGCCGAATTGCCCTTTATTCTTAAATGATGTCCCTTCTATAATTTTGGTTCAACTATGCTTTCTTTTATGGAATAGTGGTGATATAGAAATATTTGCAAATGCCTTTAATATAAAATTGGAAACCTGTATCAATTTTTATAACAAAAAACAAATGAAGTCAATGCAACTATATGTTTAGTATCTACTCTTCTGAATTCTATCTTTTTTTCTTTCATAGTTTAAGGTTTATTCAGTATTTTTTAAATGTGAGAATATTTTATTAGTCTTTGGAGTAGAGCGATTTTAAAAACACAATCTAGGCTTGCAGTCTACTAGGGAGTAGGCAAATAATCAGATAATTAAAATCAGTGTTTTAAGTACCACAATTGAGGCATCACAGAGAGGGCTCCTCTCTCATTACAGTTCTACACCTGGAAAAGGTTTATAGAGGATCTGAAGGCTGACTGAGTTGAAAATATAAGTACAAATTAGCGTGCTGAGAAAATGAGAAACAGGAATGCTATGCAGGGGTAAAGGCTTGGGCAAGTCCCTTAGGTGGGAGAGAGCATAGTGGATTCAGAAATCTACTTTGTGTGGAAATGGAGAAAGATCCAGAAGGGGCAAAGACCAGATCATGTAAGACCTTGTCTTCTGGGAAAAGTTATTTGGATTTCATCCTGAAGCATTAGGACCTGTGCAGAAAATGGTTGATACTAAAGTTTTTGTTTTAGAGAGATCACACTTGTAGAACAGGGAAGACTGAATGGAGGAAATGCTGTGTGGATATAGGTGCTGGGATTTTAGGGGACCCAATAGCATCCATTTTCCCCTGCCAGAGGATACATGAACAAGAGGAACATGAACACATGAAAAAATTCTTTTAGAATTCAGTGCCAATAAAACATTTAGGTCTCTAAAGAATAGTCATGCTTTCCTCTCTCTAATGATGAGAACTGTGACATTTACTGTGTTTTTTTTTTTTAAATTTCAATTTGGGTACAAGAAAATTCAGTGCCAAATGCAGTGCTCTGGCTTGCAAGATAATTATTAGTCCTGTCGAGTTTTCAATGTTTTCCTAATTTCTGGTGGCTTTTTCACTTGTTTATTTTATTATATGTGTTTCGCTATAATCCCATACATCTTTCATTCTTTATTTTTCATCTTAATTTTATTGATTAATTGCAGATATGTACATTAAAAAGAAGCAGGGTGGAAGAAAAGGCAGGAAGTTTGGTGCTGCTGCTTTTGAGAGCTCAACATTTCCCAGGCAACATGTAACATATATGGACATATTCTTCTCTAAACTGTCTTTTATCTTCTATATACATAAAATAACAAAGTATGTTCATTAATTGGACAATTAGGAAAAAATACAATCATTGGATCCATTTATTTGGTTATTGCTGTAAAAGGTGGAGTT